GGGGGGGGGGGGGCAGTTTGTGCTGAAAGGACACACTCTGCTCTCAGCTGTTGTCTTTTTTCTTTGATGACACTGAGGTCCCTATGATCTTTGATCACATGTTTAATCTCTTTTTTATCCCAAAACATATCGACTCAAAATATAACCTAATCATGTAGATTAGTATCATGCTTCATTCACATAACTACTTCTAAACCTGCCTTCATTCACATAACTACCTCTAAACCTTCATTCACATAACTACCTCTAAACCACAGAAGTTAGGATTCACAACAATCAGGATCACAAAACATCAGATTACAAAATTAAGGATAATTACATAATACTGAGAATCATGTTTTCCCCTAGTGGACTCATATTTTTAGGGTGCATAATTCAATCCATAACAGAGGGGTTAGGATTTCAACAAATATACTGGAGAGGGGCACAATTCAATTTCTAACATGATTTAATTGATATGAGTATTGAAATCAAGTACTAGCAACATCGAATGTGTTAGGGGATGACGGGATTCAGGAAACAGGGCAAAGCCTCACTTTCCAGCCCAAAGGGAAAAGGGAAAGAAATATGAATATGGCTGTAGCCTCACTTTAGATGGATGGCAGAAAAATGAGAAGGATTTTGACTGTTGGCTTCTATCTTCTCTGACAAGTTGGAAGCAGGTTGATCAGTTGGGTTTATGTGAAACAGTAAGTAGAAGAGGTGAAGATCTGAGGAGAGTGGAAAGGTTTTAAATAGAATCTGTGAAAAAGTGGAAGGCTGACTAGGGAAATCCAAAGCATTGCAAGTAGCATTGAGCGCCAACGTTGTAAAGAGTTGGCATTTGTAGGAGCACCACTCTTCTCTGTTGGATGCTATTTTCCAGCAGCATCCAGCATCCCAGATGTATATTCAGAACTGAGTTTATCCAGAGCTTGAGTAATCCCAAGTGGGTGTACTGAAGGAAGCATTGGGCAGTGGAAGTGGGCTATTGGCAGGAAAATTATTAGAAGTCATGTTGTTATTATAGCAAGTCAACTCCAATTAATGGAAACCTCATTAAAAAAGACCAGTGTGTCCCCTGGTCTTGCACCATATTCATGATCACGCTCCTATTTAGACCCATTGCTGCAGTCACGGTGTGTTTTGAATGCTTTCGAGCCTCCCAGGCTCATCTTCTAGTGCTAGCTCCGTGTTACTCTCACCTTACATCTCAGCATCCATTCTGGCAGCTCTGTGTCATTGTGCAAGATATTTCACTCTTTACTGGTGTTAACAATGTAAAATGTCTGATAGTGAAACAGACAGTAAGTGGGGAGTAGGCGTGTGGGAGAATAAGCCCAGTTGAGAAGGCTACAGAGAAAATGGTGTCCTGGAAAGAGTGGCTATTTCAATGAAGCCCAAGAGTTGCTTCAGATGTTCAGTGAAGTGTTTGCCGCTGTTTAGCATGTTGAGTTTTGTTTAGCATACAATGACACACCTTGGACACGAACATTGGTAAATGGAATGAGCTGAGAGGAAATACAGAGAATGAGGGACCAAGAGCGAATACCCTTAGATTACTGGGGAGCCTTAGATATTAGGCAGCGATAGAGGATAGCCAGGATATGAAGCACAGTGAATTCAGCTGTCTGAGTTCTGAAAGTCTCGTGATCAGCAAAGGACGATGTGACGGACCACCAGGCAGCACAGAGAGGGTGGGAGATGGTTTTGATGGATGAGTGTACCTGTTGACTTCATCAATAAGTAATGACTTTCAGCGTGGTCTAGATCAGCGGTTCTCAACCTGTGGGTCGCAACCCCTTTGGGAGTCGAATGACCCTTTCACAGGGGTCGCCTAAGACCATCAGAAAACACATAAATATTTCACCATGGATAATTACATATTGTTTTGTGATTAATCACTATACTTTAATTATGTTTAATTATGTTCAATTTGTAATAATGAAAATACATCCTGCATATCAGATATTTACATTACGATTCATAGCAGTAGCAAAATGACAGTTATGAAGTAGCAACGAAAATAATTTTATGGTTGGGAGTCACCACAACATGAGGAACTGTATGAAAGGGTCACGGCATAAGGAAGGTTAAGAACCACTGGTCTAGATTATATATCCTGTAACCTTGAGCAAGTCTTTTAATTTCTATGTCACGGTTGTTGTTAGATGTTATCAAGTGAGCTCCAGTTCATGGTGACCTTATGTGTAACAGCATGAAGCATTTCCCAGTCCCGTGATACCTTCATGATTGTAGATATACTGAAGTCCACTGTTTCAGCTTTTGGGTCAATCCACCATCTCATTGACCGTTTCCATTGATTTGGGGGATCCTCTGATTTACCAAGCATGGTGTCATTTTATAATGTTTGATCTCTTTTAATAATGCATCCAAAGTAAGGAGGTCAAAGTATTGCCATCTTCGATTCTAAGAAAGAGTCTGGCTGTATTTCTTCGAAGGTCAATTTGGTTATTACTTGTACAGTCCACATATTCCGTTCCCTCCATCAGCACCACAGTTCACATGCACTGATTCTTCTCTTGGCTTCCTTTTTCCTAGTCTAGCTTTCTCATTCCTATGAAGCCACTGAAAGACCATGGCTTAGGTCAGATGCACCGTAGTCATCAAAGTGACATCTCTGCTTATTGAAATTTTAAAGAAGTCTTTTGCAGCAGATGTGCCCAGCACAATACTTTGCTTGCTTGACAGTTTCTTCCCTGGATGTTGATGATTATGGACCTATATTTTTCAAGGTTTTTTTGTTTTGGCTTTTTTAACTGGTGTGCATGTAAATATACATTCACGAATGTCTTTTTTTCCTGGCAGGGATTTTGTTGAGGAGAAACTAGGAAGCAAATACGTGGCAGGACGTGCTCTTGACTTTGCAACCTCATTTGAAGAATCGGGACCGGCCACTCCCATGTTTTTTATCTTGTCTCCAGGGGTGGATCCACTGAAGGATGTGGAAAATAAAGGTGAGAAATGGTGTCAAAGTGATGCCAGCCCCATGCCCTTTCACCTTCAGTCTTTGAGTGTGCCAGATTCTTTTCCTGATTCGAGGCTAACTCACCCAAATCCTTGGCATTTGCTAACCACACAGAGGTCAGGCCATTATTGAGGCAACGCGAGAGGGTCAGATGCCAGAGAGAGAAAGAATGAGTTTGGGCTGTAAGCAGAATCCACAGCAGCCGTTCCATGAGGAGGCCTCATCCCCTCACATCCACCCTCTTCACTGTAGCCAGGACAGTCTTTCTGATCTTTGCAAACTCTTGCATCTTTTCATTGTGTGCCTCAGAAGAAAAGCCAGCTCCTTCACATAGGGCTCAAACCACTGCATCCTCCAGCTTCTGTTTCTCCAGCCTCGTCACCTGTATTCTTATCTTGTTGCTGCTGTGAGAAATCACCACAACCTGAGTGACTTGAAAGGATGCACTTATTATCATAGACTTTTGGAAGTGAGACGTCCTAAGTGAGTCTAACAGGACTCAAAGCATTCTTGCTGGAGGCCCTAAGGGAGAACCCACTTCCTTGCTTTTTCCAGCCTTGGTTTATGGAACTTCCTCCATATTCAATAAAATCCACATAGCACCTTCAAAGTTCTCTCTCTCTCTCTCTCACTCATTTCTATCTAAAATAAAGTACATGCATATTTACATTCATGCAATACACATACAAACATACATGTTCTCCAACTAAAACATTCACTACAAGTGAGACAGAAGAATATCTCATAAAAATCCCTGTGTCTGTTATTGGAGTTCCAGAGAGAGGGAGCATAGAAAACATAAAGGAAGAAATTATCGAGGAAAATTTTCAGTGTAAAAAAAGATATAACTCTTTCACCTGTAATGACATGCCCGGCGCTAAACAAATGAATGGAAAGGATGCAGCTCATGGAATTTCATAACACAAGGTAAAGATAAGATGTCAAGTTTCAAGGAAAGAGAAATAGGTCACCAATAATCAAACAAGCAAGAATGGTATCCTACTGGCGTATGACCTCTCATGAACAAATCTGGCTCAAATTGAAGCGCTTTAAGCTACCCAAGGATTCAGAAATATTACTTCGCATGATTCTTTCTGAAGCTTTCTGACAGTAAAACAAGTGCAGGAAATTGGAAGTCGTACGTAGATATACAGGATACTGGAACTAATCCAGAGTAAAATACGTCCCAGAAGAGTAGCTTCCTAGAAAACTAACCTGCTTCAAATGCAGAGTTGGCTTACATGATATATCGGAAGAAGTAGGAAGTATCAATGTTGAAGCTGCCAAGGAAATTCAAGGGTCAGCTGGACCAGATGAAGAGTATCCACCAGAGAGTATTATGTCATGCTAACAATGCAAACAGGCATAAAAAGACCATAGACATATGTGTCAATGGAATTGAACTGAGAATCCAAAAATAAACTCATTCACCTATGGACAGTTGGTTTTGACAAGCGGTCCAAGATCATTCAATGGTGAAGACAAGTTTTTTTTTACCAAATAAGTCTGGATCCACTGGACATCCACATGCAAAAGAATAAAGTTGGTTGATCCTTTTTCTTAAATCGTAGACTAAAATTAACTCAAAGTGGACCTAAGTGTAACAACTGAAACAATAAAACTCTTAGATGAAGATTCTAGGAGTAAATCTGAGGTTAGAAAATAGTTGCTTAGACACAAACTGTAGCACAGTGATCGAAGAAAATAACAGATAATTGGACTTGAGCAAAAATTTAAAACTTTTCCTTTAAAGGACACCATCAAAAAAGTGAAAAGCTTAAAAACCCTACAGAATGGGAGAAACCATTTTACAAATCATGTATCCAACAAGGAACTTGCAGCAAGCATTTATGAAGAATTCCTACAACTCAACAATAAAAAGAGAACTGGCCCTATTAATAAACAGGCCAGGGATCTAATAGACCCATCTCCAAAGGTGTACAAATGGCCAGAAGTGCATGAAAAAAGGAACTGGGGTACCATAGTGAAAAAGAAACACTACTCAAAGAAGTGGCATTCCTGAAGAAGTCATAACATAGGCACAGGAATCACATTTACCATTCTAATTCAGGCATTTGGGGGTGGGGGCTGGCACCAAATATAGCCCAGTTGCTTCACCATCTGTCTCTAGCATCGGGAGCAACTGGATGTGACAGCATGGGTTTCTTCTGGCCTTGCAATGTGGCGGAGGGCATAGCTGGTGTCACGGAAAGGTGATGTATCTGTCTCTGGTCACTTGGGCATGGGTGTAGGAAGCATTCTCACTAGTCCCTGAGTAGATATTTGATATACATATTGATAGTTGCCACGTAGATGGGGTGAGGATGCCTGTTGATCACAGGGTGGATAGTATGGTAACCTGCACCAAAGGTCCCAAGTAGGCAGAGCTGTGCAAGCGTGGTCAGAGCAGGCATACATCTATAATTCCAGGGGGCTGGGAGTGAGGTATGAGGCAAGGGGTACAGGCCAGCCTTCACATGCCTGGTAAGAGAATATGCCCCTGTCCAGTTGAATGTGACATTGGAGAAGGTGTATTACTATTCCTCTGACCCCAGCACAGGTTATTGGAGCATGGGCCTCTGACCCTGGTGGCTGACACCATAGGCTGACACCTATGCCTTTGGGCCTTATCTCCCAGTGCCAGCTGCTGGGCAGAGCAAAAGATGCTGCCGGCCTGTCGACCTCATTGCAAGCAGCTGGGACATAAGAGCAGACACTGCCATTCCAGAGGTCCCAACACTGGTGACCGGGCAGAGAAGCTGGCCCCACCTATCCATGGGGCCCAGCGGGAGTGGCCGAGCAAAGACCACCAGTCTTAGAGCTCCTAGCTCAGGAGGTCGGGTGGTGGTAGGTGCTGCTGAACCACAGTTGGGGGTGGTGGGTGGGGCAGGATGAGGGTGATAGAGCACGACATATGGGAGATGGGTACAGTGGGTGCTGTGAGTACACATAACTTGCATAGGACAGCAAGTACTCCTGCCTCGCTCTGGACATGGATGGCAGTCAGTTTGGTGGTTGTTTGAATTTATGAGACTGTCGATGAAGCCGTGGTAGTTAGTGGTAAACTCTCACCTTCCATATGGGAAATCTTGACCGATGCACCTCATGTGTAGCCACCCCCATCCATCAGCAGAGGCTTGTCTGTAGTATATGAGTATGCCTACTCATAGCGACCCTATAGGACAGGGTAGAACTGGCCCTGTGGTTTCTGAGCCTGACTGTTTACAGGAGTAGAAAACCCTGTATTTCGCCTGCAGAAGAGCCGGTGGTTTCAAACTGCTGACCTTGCGGATTGCAGCCCAACACGTAACCACTACGCCACCAGGACTCCTAAATATTCTGTAACATTTAATATAGTTCTAATTGCCTGCTTGTTACTAAGATCCTTGAGGTCAGGTACCATGTCTCGCCTGCCCAAGAACTGCTTGCCACGGCCTAGTAACTAGCACAGGGAAGGTGTTCAATAAATATCTGTCGAATGAATTAACAGACAAATGTATGAGTATCATCAGGACTGTTGTCAGAGCCGAGTGACTCCGTCTTTCACACTTTGACAGAGTTCTGTGTTCCTCTGTCCCCTGGAGGCGCTGTTTCTGCCATAGAGACCCATCTACTTTCTTCATTGTTATTCAAGACTTGCTTTTTGGAAAGTGTTTATACATCAGTCTTTGAGCAATTTCCTGCTGCCCTCCTCCAGTTGACCTCCAGCTACTGCATCCTATCATTGGAGGCTTTCTGTCACCTCAGTCAAGCTGAACCGGCCTTGGTTTATTTTGCTTATTTGTCTCTGAATATATTATCTCAGCCCTGGCACGGGTTTCTTCTTAATGCATTATTTCCTTACCAGAACCAATCTTGCTGGAGACACGTGAGCATCTGTGGATTTTGTTTCTCTTTCTTTCTCCCACCCTGCCTTCTTCCTGGTTTGATTTCTTTTCTAATTCCTTGTTTACAAGACACACTCTGGAGACCCCTATATTTCCACAACTTGCCCAATGGGCTCTATTATCAACTCTGAGATCACCTTGACTGACTCAAACATGCCCTTCTAGCCCCATCTTTTAAAGAGACTTGCTATTTCTGTCAGTTTGTCATCTTGTGATGTCCTGTGTGTTGCTCTGATGGTGGAAGCAATGCCGCTGGTGTTTCAAATACCAACACACTGGTATTTGATACTCTGTTGGAAAAGAAGCCCAGTAGGCTGGAAGGTACTATACGAGGGGATACCCAAAAAATGGAATTTTTCCCCCAAAGCTATGTATTTAAATTTTTTTTACAAAACAACCTCATCACCTTCAAAGCACTCTCCATTACACTTAATACATTTGTCAAATCTGCAATTCCATTCTTGGAAACATTTTTCACATTCATCTGTTTGGATGGCTGTCAGCATCTCCCTCATTTTATCTTTCACCTCTTTTATGTCATTAAATCACTGTCCATTCATGTCCCTCTGCATTTGTGGAAACAAAAAGAAGTTGCACCAAGAAAAGCCAGGTGAATAAGGTGTGTGGGACAAGAGAGGCATGCTGTGTTTGGCCCAAAACTGGCACACTGAGATGGCTGTGAGCAGATGCATTGTCGTAGTGGCACAATCAGTCCCCCATCTGCCACAAATCAGGCCTTTTTTGTCTCACACTGCTACACAATCTTTTCAGAACCTCTAAATAGAAAGCTTGATTAACAGTGACCTGGTGGAATGAACTCCAAACAAGTCAACATTTTCATCTATTCAAGAAGTTCATGGACGTCCAGAACAAGGTTTGTCATCAATTGACATTTCACCTTGTTTGAAATGAGAAAGCCACTTGAATTTTTCTTATAGCACTGCCCTGGTAAGCTGTGTTCAACATCACATTTTCTAAGGTATTTCTCCCCAAGCAGGATACAAAATTCCACAGCCACACTCTGTTCTCTTAAATCGACCTTCACACACAAAAAAAACGAGGTTTGAGCAAAACTGCTTTTATGAAAAAATTCACTGACCTG